ATATGTTTCTTTTATGTTAAAACTCTGCTGTTTCTGGGAAAGCTAAAAGTTAGGATTTTTTACACATGTGGACTAAAGCTATATTTGGACCTATCAGTCTCTTAACAGAATAAAGACATTTTTTTAAGAGCTCCATTGCTGCAGTTTATTATAAGAAAATCACTGACTTTTGAAAAATTTTTAAAGTAAACCTTGTTGTCCTAAATATTTCCTTAAAAGTTAAAGAAGCTTTCATTTAAAAACAAAAATAAAGCACTTAATCTAAATTAATCGTGAGTTTAAAAATTATTTAATAGTCATGACGTCTATTTACAGGACATTTTTCTAGTCATCCCATCTATAAATACACTACTTTTAAAAAATAATAATCATGACATTGCTTTTAAGCATTAAATACTTAAAACCCCACAAGATTAAATTTCTTAGACTTCTCTTTAAATACATGTAAAACCACTTGGGACATCTTTATTTAATCCCCTGTGAAGTTGTACTCCCCAACTGCATGTCAGCCTCACACAACAAAGTCAAATAGATGGAAATCCAGGACAAAAAAAAGACGATAAACCATGACATTCTAACACGGCTGCCTCAATTAGATAAAAAGTAGACAAACAGGCTATGAGAAAATCTATAAGTTCTGAAATAAAGTTTAGCATGTGGTCTGATAAAGTTAATATTCAAACAAGTATCATTTCCCTTTGAATCATCTCACTGTATATCAGGATTTCTAAATCTCAGTACTATGGACACATAGTACTCAGTATTATGTTGTATCTGTTCTTTATTTTTTATAGAATGGTTAGCAGCATCCCTGGCCTCTACCTATTACATGTCAGTAGAATCCCTGTGCCCAGTCATGACATCAAAAAATGACTCAAGACACTGCTAAATGTCCCCTAGGGGCAAAAATGTGCCCAGTTGAGAACCACTGCTCTACACTAAAGAAAATCCAAAAGTTAATCATGGATAGAAGCCTAAAATTTGATTTTATTCGATATAAAGTACATGAGTTAGTTGTACTAACAAAGTCACGCCTTATAAATGAGGTCTATAACTAATAGGAAGATATGATCATCCATTTTGACGGAAGATTCAAGGGACGGGGTTTTAACAACGTAAATGCTAATAGTACATGCCGCACCATTGCCTCCTCAATCAGAAAAGCTTTTAAGCCCAGAAAAGATAACTAGGGCCCCTTAAAACACTAACGTAGGTGTCAGGCGGGAATCAGTGACTGTTCATGATGAACTGCCTATTAATTATTTAATCTCTATCCTTGTGTCAAAGATCAGATTAATTTAAGATGAAAACAACAGATGTCAGTAGGAAATAACCAGAAAAGAATATAAAAGTTAAGGCAGAGAGCTAAAATTTTGTGCAGGGACAACTCATTAACAGATCTTAGTTTCTTTCTCATTCCTTTTTCTTTACCTAATCAAAGGTGTCCTTTTCTTGAGAATTTTCAGAAAGCAAACAGTTTTCTATACCCGTAAAAAAAAAAAAATTTAGAAAATAAAATCAAAATGAACACTGCCCATTTAAAGGTTTATATTAATCTTAAGCATAAGATAAATTTCTTATGCTACTTCAAAGCAAGATTTAATGTTCTCTTTATATTTATAACATATATCAACCAAAAACCAGACTTGAAGTTTTAAACAGCAAGTCCACCTATAGCACAGATGTTGAATCAGCACCAAGAAAGCTACAGCTTTTAAAGATACCTGGCCCTCTGAAAATACAATATCCAAAGCTGCGTCTACCAAAAATAAAATCTATAATTTTTCCAAAGAAATACTGTATTTGAAAGTTTAAAAGTATTTCTTTTTTTGCACATGGGAAATGATGTTTAAGTTCTATAAGTTATAAACAGTGACCAAAGTGATACCTGTAACATTTATAGCTACTTGCCAAAATTTGAAGGATTAACTCAGAATGTTTCCATTTCTACAATTTGATTGAAATCAGTCTTTGTTTTCTTTCTCAGTGCTTGAGTTTTTGCTTCTAAAGAGACATAAGGAAGAAGCAGTAGAAATCAGAAGAGTAAATACTGGATTTCTGATGGCAACTTTAATTGTGCTTCCTTCTGAATTAGTTTAAAAAATATTCCTCTACTACTTTATCTTAACACAAAATCGAAAACATACTACAGAGTTTTTTTTCTTGCTTTTTCCACTTAACGTTTTCCCTTCTCTTTAAATATTTCCCCAAACATAATTTTCAATGGCTATTACTATTAATTCTACGGTGATATCATTTAAGTGTGTTCTACTTTAGGGGTTTTAAATTGTTTTCAATCTTTTGCTCTTGCTGCTGGGATGAAATTTTTCTGCATAATTATGTTTGTATCTCGGGCTATTCAAGATAAAGTCCGAAAAGTTAACTTACTAGTTCAAATAGTAAGAACGTTTGTATAGTTGTACAAAACAAAGTGCTTTCCATAAAGATTGTGAACTTTACATTTCCATCATTCTTTGAGAATGCCAATTCTCTGCATATTAAAAAAGAATGGACATTTTCTTTTTCAAAATCATGTCAATCTGAAATACTAAAAATATATCATTGCTTTAATGTATACTTACTTAGATTGAACGATTTTTATGCTTAGTGCTTATAATTATACCTTTTCAAATTGTTTGGTCTTTTACTCATCTTGCCATTGCAGTAAGTTTTTTTTATATTAAGCTACTATAGCTCAATATAAAAGCATATAACCCTTGCTTATGACATCTAGAAAGTTCTAATTTTTATGTTGTCTGACCAGCCTTTCCCTGTGTGATCGTCCCACTACTTTCAGGCTTAGAAAGTCCTTTCCCATTTCAACATAACTATTGACATATCTTTTCTTTTAGTTCTTTTGTTTCATTTTGACATCTATTTTTAAAACACCTGGAATTTATTTTTGGTATGGTATGAGGATGGTGATTTAATATCTGATTGCATGAGAGCCCATTAATCATTATTTCCAAAAACGTTCTGCCTATTTTTCCAGATTAACTTTTAAAATCACTTTGTCAGATGTCCCTCTCCCCCACTCTCAAAAACGTCATTTAGATTCTTATTAAAATTTCAATTAAACTATAAATAAAATCAGGAACAATGTATAGAAGAATGTTGAATACCGGTGCTATCAAGCATCCTTATCTTGGACCTGATTGTCATAGAAATACTTCTACTGTATCATTTGTTTACTAATACATAAATTTACTGTTTCAGATCAGGATTTTTCTTATTAGTCTTAAAGAATTCACCTTCCATTTTCGTTACTAAATCTCTAACTGAACATAGATTTCGTATTTTGTCAAATGCTTTTTTGACATCTTTTGGGGATTACATGTGCTATTATGCTGTATCTTCTAGATTCCAGGTATTAACAGGTTTCTTAATAGTAAGCCATTCTTTAATTCCTATCAGAAATCCTACTGATAGCAGTGTATTATTCTTTAATATGTTGATGATATGTGGTTGCTTGTGCTTAACATCTTTACATAACTATTTCTAATCTGGAGCCTTTTCAAGAATAATTTTTTGGATAATTACTAAAATTTCTATGATTATTTCAATTAGATGTTCAATTTATTTCATTTAAATTTCTCCCTGAAGAACATTCATTTGGAGATTTCCAAATCTGAGTTTCAATTTTTTAAATCTTATTTGCACTTACTGTTTATATGCCGTCTAGGTTTTCCAGTTTGGCATACTTATAATTTTCATTTTTCCTTTTGTTAGGTATCTTAAATATTTGTCTCTCTGTTTTTGTCTTTACTATGTCACTAAGAATTATTTATGTGACTTATCTCATCTTTCCGTCTTATGGTCTAATTTATTTTCACATACTTTCAGAATAAATCTTAAGGTGTTCTGTGTTGTGGTGTGCTATTAATTCAATTTGTAAAGTGTCTATTTCCGGTCATACTATGAACTGTGTTGGGGTAGATTGTTGCGGTGTTAAACAGCCTACTAATCATTAATTTAATTAGAGAAGTCATTTAACCTATATATAATCTACTGGAAGTTTAAAACCTATTTTAAACTTTTTGATAATGTTTCAGAAAACAACTTAGTAACTAAATCTGTTCTCACAAAATTAGAAAACTACTTTTTTTCCCAGAAGACATTGTTCCAGTGTTTCACATTATTCATTCTCAGCACTACATGAGCCAAACACTTCAAATTAAATTATTTTCAAGGGAAGAAACAAAATGGAATGAAGAAACAAATTGAATGTTGGAAACTATAATGTTTACGTAATGTAAACAATTTGACCTTATTTAAATTAGGAAAAAATACACTTCAGAAGCCACATGTTTCCTCTTTAGGAATGATAATCTGATTGTGGCAAAACTCAATATTTGTGTAACTGCTATTCATGCATTCTTGCAATCTGCCCTTTTTTTGGCCCATTAGATTTCCTGGTATATTGTTACCATAACTTGGCTTACATTTTCCTGTGTAATTTGTGTATACTTTTCAGAAATGCTGATTAATTACCTCCATCCTTCCCTATGAAATTCACATGAACATTTCTCTTAAAGTACTTTCTTTGCAATGTATTTTCCATATTATACATAAGGGGGGAGGAACTTTTCTAAAAATGTTAAATATCTTTCATTTCGACTCTTGTGATTTACTCAAACCCATAATGACTTTAGTAGTCAACAGATATCCTTATTCTTAAATAGACAACATACCACCTAATGTAGGAAGGCTCTTCGATGCACACTTTTCCCTCAGAAGTTTACATTTCTCTTCTAGTGACCATAAGAAACACAGATAGATTTCTCTATACATACACTTTTGAGATATTTGAGTAAAGAGAAAGGTAAGCCGCTTACATTTTTTTAATGATAAAAGCTAATACACACACATACACCTCTCAGACAGGGCTAGTAAAATAACATCCAATAGACTACAAAATTCATATTGTCAAACATTTAACCACCACAGTACAAGGAGAGTTTAAAAGTAAGACAGAGAGCTGGGGGCTCGAAACATCTTACCTGCTTCCCGTCCAGCGTGCAGAGCCTCTTGACTACTCCCGAGTCTAGCTTAATGGCTTCGGTGATATCTGTTAAGACCTGTTCAAAGGAATGAGCAGTCTTCTTATTCAGAAGGATCCGCACGGCTTTCCTAGGCTTCACTCCACTTCGAATCACAGTCACTAACTTGGGTTTGATGAAATCTTTGCTTTCCTTCACTTTACTTTTCCCCGAGGAGGGAGTAGCCAAGGCTCGAGTCGTTCCACCTTTGATGTTCACAGACCAGTTTGGATTAATATTTTTGGTGTAATCGACTTTACGAAATGGTTCATTTGATGCACACACATAACTCTCACCTAAAAAACAAAAATCGGTTTAATTAGCATGATTATCCCTACCATGGGAGAAGAAACGCTGAAGACCCATTAAGTAGACTAAACTCAACAGGTTCACTGAAGGCGATTAACATCTTTTACCGCTGGCACTCTCCCCACTCCCCTTTGTTTTTAATAGCATCTAGATTGGTTTTGAGAGAGTAACATGCATCATAGAATGAAACGCACTGGATAAAGAAAGAAGAGAGATCTGAGTTTTATTTTACCAAATACATCACAATGGATAATTCCGCTGCAATTTAGTCCTCAATATCATTATCTGTAAAGTGAATGTGTTGAAGCAGATGAATTCTAAAGTACTTCCTAGTTCCAAAAGTCTATTAACTAATTTAATTGTTTTTAAAATGTTTCATATGGTTGAAATAATTATATCGCAAAATACAGTCATATATAAAAAAGTATTTTCCTCCTTCCAATTATAGATTTCAGTCCTAATCAAAGAATGATCACATCCTCACATAGCTGACTAAATTATATTCAGTTATAGGATCATTTGCTCAACTAATGAAGCACCGCAAAAGAGAGTTTTGACAGCTCGAAGAAACATACCTCAGACATTTTTTCTTAATTAAAAAATGTGAATTTAAAATAACTAGTTTTAATAGGTAACCTTTCCTATATCTACTTAAATGGGAAAGGATATTAAGCAGTTAAAATATGTTCATTACTTAAGTAGCCTTTAGCTCAATTTTTATTAAAACATAAAAACATTATTTGTCAACTGATTTACTAATTCAATGTTAATTTTAAGCCTCAAAATTGTATGTTGAAAAAGTTTTTCATGAAAATCATAATTAATTATGTTTTTAAATTATGGTTTTTTTCTTTTGAGAGACTCAGAAGTCATCTAATTCTTTTAGTTGCAATATAAAACTAGTTTCAACTGTTTGGCATACAAGAAGGTTATACTCTTAAGATTTTCTCTAAGATACTTTTTAATTTGAAAAGAATCCATTATTTTTCACCTATTCTGTATGTCTCATTCTTAATATTATAATTCCGTGATACAATCCTCAAATGCTGTGGTTGCTTAAATTTAAAAAAAAAAAAAATAGTGAAAGAGAATTCCTGAGGAAAACCTATTAATATATTTTACTATTATCAGTATTTCTTGAAATTGATTATTGAAGAACTTAAAGACTCCAAATGGCACATGAAGAATTCAGTAATAGATCAGGCATACAAGAAGGGTCTAAAAAGAGGAGTATTATCTTTTATTTAAAGGTATAATAGGGCCCCTGTCCAAGAAAACTAGGGAGCCAGTCACAGGCTTTAATGCAGCATCTATACCAGTAATTCGAAATCTAGCTCAACCATCACCATTTAGAGGTTTTTTCATTTCTGTAGGTTTATTTAAATCATTTTTCATAGGGTAATCATCTGGTAATGTCACATAATTTCACAAATAGTTATAAATTTATTAAGATAGAACTATACATTACATGCGTGGATTAATGTGCAAAAGTAAACAATTATGATTGTGCTTTAACTTTATAGAGAAAGCAACTCTCACATTGAAAAGCTCTTCCTATCTTATGATAAAAATTTAATTCTATGCTCTGATCCAAAATATTAAAATGGAAGAAAATAAAGGAACTTAAGCAAGAAAAGGTGGCTTTTTTTTTTTTTTTAAGAGAAGAGAGAAGTCAGCTGGGGAAAAGCCTTTCCCAAAATAGAGAGAAAAGACAATGGCAAAAAGAAAACGAGAAATTTCCTATGTCAGAATTCCTTATCACTCTAGCCCCGGAACAGCCAACATACGAACCAGGAGAACTGCCTTTTAAATTTGTCTGTATTTTGCCTCTTTACACAAGTTCAGAATGTCAGAATGACAACAGGCAAAGAAAGCCTGTCTTTTGATTTGTTTGTGTGTGGTTACGGATAGATTTTTAATTCCTTCCATCTTTCCCTTCCTCCCTTCACAATGTTTCTATTAAAAACTCATAGATCAGTTCTCTAATAAAGTTTTGAACCAGCCCCACCATGGATCCACAGGAGATGCAAACAATAGTTCATAGAGTACTTTTCTGTTAAGCCTAGAGTCCTCTTCACAATATGCACTGAATACCTACTATGTGACAGCTCACCTCCTAGGTACTGACATGACATGAAACTGACTGGCATCACTGGCCCTCAGCATTTCAGCATAGAGGTTCAGGACATGGTTTTGATGTCAGACTTGTGTTTCTGTACACTGGACACATAAACTCCTAAAATACAGATGTCAGACTTTGTAACAACAGCCACCATAATACCCAGGCTAGCTTCCTTGTTATAGTCTCACCCAGATCAAGTGCCTGATTGTAATTTTGTCACTTGTATAGGTTTGCCAACAGGGAGAGAGTACATGCTGACAAAAGAATTTAAGATTTTGGTTCTTTGGGCAGTTACAGCTCCTGCTGTTAACCAAACAATAAATATCATTCTGTTAGATACCAGGCATCTACAAATTGACTACAAGCAATCAGCCTCCCCGCAACCAGATTCATATTATTGTAGGGACTCTTGTGTAAGATTTATTACTCCCCCGCCAACTTGTCACACCTCCTTTCCTCCCCAACCTGGAGAGCAGCTTCACTTCCTACTCAGATTATTCAGCCAGAAACCTAGATGTCATCCTTCATTCTT